AGAAAATTTTTATTAATGTAAGTGTGCCTTGGGCTGGAAGAGGTTGGGAAACACTGCTTCAGTGAAATGTCAAATACAGGGCAACCAAATGAGCTCAACATTTGAAACAAATGGGGCATATCCCCGTGAGTGTGCACATGCGTTTTCCTGGGGACAAACAGCAGTGGCACACAGTTGTGCCATTGCTACTTGCCCACAGGGAACGCTCCTGCACGCGTGCTTTGGCATGTGGCAGATTGCCCCAGGTAGGGTAGGGGAGGCTGGGGCCAGCACCTGGACTGGCCCCAGTCTTACCTGGATTCCCAAGGGGTCTCCTGGGGCTGCAGCAGCAACAGCAATCTGGGTTTACAGAGCCTGGCCAGTAGCCAGAATGTGGCTCTGGCTGGCCAAGCTCCAGTTTCAGGTGGCACATACTGCAGCCATTTGTGCTGCCCCGTTTCTTGGGAAATCTCAATATCTTAAAAAAGAGGGTCCAATATCTATTTGTGGCTCTGTGCTACAAATATGCAGCATGGAGATCCTTATTATGTATACTTTGTGCGCATGTTCCTGCTCATCTGGATGTGTCCATGAAGTCCACAATTTGACTTAAGAATCCTGCAGTTTCACAAGCTGCACAATTTCTAAGGCAGTTCCTCACAGACCTACAGCACGGAAAAGTGGGGCTGTATCCATTTTCAAAGAAACCAGTGAGCTCAGTCTGACCCTTTTCATGAGCTGCCATTTTGCTCAGACACACCTACACACTAAGTTGTAGCTCTGCTTTGTTTTACTGTTCTCTCATAGAATTTATGGTTTTAATAGACCTATTATTTTCTCCTAGTTCCTGCTTTCATAACAACCTTTGAATACAGTAAGGAGAGAAAAAGACAAGCAGCATCTCCTCTATGGTCTTCAGACACAGAAGAATCCAGGTAATTTAATTAGCAAATGACTTTGGATCATCTTGTCTAGTTTTTGATTACATAGAAAAACCTTAACTTGCAATAATTTAAGGGTAGCGTACATTTATTGAGATCATGGAAAATTTTAGTGCGACTGCCTTTAAAAAGAAAGGTTAAAATAAAAAGTCAAGTAAATCTATAATGATGAGAAGCCTGAGAAGATAAACATAGTTCTCTGCATAAACAAGATGGATAGAATACTACTACTCCCAGGGGCTGCTTGGTTCAAAGGGGTGGAAGTAGCAGTGAAAATACATAGCTCAGATCTCTGAAATTAGTTATTTAATTTGTATTAGCCTTGCAGCATGTCTGAATGCTTTATCCTGTACTGTTTTCATTTGGGCCACTAACCCAATAAGTATTTTGAAAACATTTAGACATACAAAACATTTTCTTATATTGTTAACAGACTGACAAAAGGAGTAACTGAGAAATGCATTCATCTACTTGAAGGATATAGGTTATAGCTATGTTAGTCTAGAGGCAAAGGCATTCAAAACTGTTGAGGAAGAAGTAATAGCTTTTATTAGACCAACTAGATAGTTGTAACTTTTTTTTGTCTGTTTGCAAGCTTTTAGGCTTAAACACCCTTCTGCAGGCAAAGAAGTCAAAGATTGTACAAGATTAACTTCATGCCCTGAAGAAGGCAGTTTGAGCCGAAAAGCTTGCAAAAATAAATAAATAAAATTAATTTGCAACTAATCTAGTTGGCCTAATAAAAGATATAGCCTCTTGCTCAAGAGTTTTGGATGCCTCTACTTGACTATTTCAACATAATTTAAAGTGCAGCATAATCAGAAATTGAGATAAAATACAGAAGCTAGAAGTGAGCACAGAGTACAGTAAATTGGATGTTGTTTAGCAGATGTGTTAAGTAATCGGTGACTCTTAGAGGATGCTTATAGCTAACCACTGCATCGTCACAGTACTTTTTGTGGATGTAGAAGATATGAACCACACTTAAGCACACATGACTAACGCTAGTTAAATTCATACTGTATTTTATCTCTCTGTAAGCAGCTATTGTGTGGAATTTAAAACTGAATCACTCTCTCACCACTGTACTCTGGAGAATCGTCCTTATGCTCGGTGGATGCAGTATATACGAGAAGGGTACACAGTGTGTGTAGCTTGCCAACCTCCAGCTATGCAAACTGGCAATCATCGTTGTTCTGGAGATGGCCTTAATGCTGATGGGTAAGAGACAGAAGTTCTCTGTTCTAACCGCAGTTTCTCTAAAATTAATAACTAACATAAGCATGGAATTCTGATTTCAGGATCTCGACCTATACAACTTTGATAACTATCAAATGATACTGATACAAGCGGTTAAAATGTAATAGTTACTTCCACATTATTCTGTAGCTATACAAGCATAGCAAAATTGCTCCAGTTTTCATCTGTCTTCATCCAGGGTCAAAGTTAGGGTGACTTAGTTAGACAGTATCAAACCACGCAGATGTAACATGTAGATCTGAACAGCAGTTCCCTTCCCCCACCCCCTTTTAAAGGAGCTAAAGGTAAATTTGTGCACACCCTCATTTGCCTTAGAGACAATGTAAGAATTGTCAGCATTAAGACAATGGTTGCATAAAAAATTATAAATAAAAAGCAAAAAATAGACCAGCTTGCAGCTACTTGAAGAATGAGACCTCTTCATTTTTATCTGACCCAGAAAGAACACCTTTGTTCCATTCTCAAATTTTATCTGAGGCTACACAATAGAGTTTGTTTTATTTACAGTAGCTGGAAAAGCCAATGTTAATTATTAACCAGTTCAGTAAGTGCATATTAGGACCCTTTGTGGACAAATATGCTTGGTGTCACAAAACCAAATTTAGTGGGTTGATAGCTTTATTTTTATCTATGAAGGAAGGAATAGAGCTGCTTCCTTTAAGGCTTCTTTGTGAAGCTGCAGATCCAACACACTTTTGAAACTGTGCTGTCATCTAAATTTAAGCCCAAGTCTAGTAGTGACAGGGCACATCTACATGTGCTATTAAATTTAAAGTAGGCTTACTGCTCAGTAACAACACTGTGCAGTAAGCCTACCCAGAAGCACGTTTACACATGCTCCCTTTTGGGAGATTTGCTCCCAGTGAGAGCAGCCCGGCACAGGGCTGCTTCTGCCCTGCTCTGCCTTCCTGCACCAGCCAGGGGGAGCTCCAGGCTCCTCCTGTGCTGGCAAGCAGCATAGGACAATTTCTAGTAGGCACGGGGCCTGGAGAACTCTGCCAACTGCAGTGGCAGCTGTTTCCTGGCCCTGTTCACATTGGGAGGGGACCACTTTAGTAAAGCAGAGCTCTCCTGGCCCTGTGCTTAGCCAGACACAAAGCTGCCAGCAAGCTCCCTGCCTGGTGGAGCTTCAGTGCTCACCAGGGGGTTGCTGGGAGCTGTCCAGGGTGTGGGTGAGTCTCCTGCCAGGTAAGGGGAAGGGGCTGGATTCTCAGACCTCACCCGTCCCCCAGAGCAGCTCCGTGCCCTGCCAAGCTGGCTGCTCTGGGGAGCGGGTAGGGGTTGGGAATCTACCCCTCACCTGTCCCATACAGCTGGCTGCTCTGGGGAGCAGGTAGCCGAGCAGCATTAGGATCAAGGACAGAGTAATCCCTGTCCCCTGTGGCCCCCACTGGCTAGGCTGACTGGGAGCAAGTTTACTCCTGGTCAACATCTACACACATTACTGCACAGTATCTACTGGGTAGTTAGTTGACTACCCATCTTTACAGTTGGTAGCTAATGGTGC